AACGTAACCTATTTTCTTGTCTATGATTGGTGGATTTTGCTTGAAAGGTCGTCAATGATTGGCTGGCTGATGAACTTACGATCTCTTAACTTTTTTGAAAGTATAGGCCCTGGTTTATGACGTTTCAGCGTATTCTGAGGCTTTCATCTGTGAGGCTGAATGCAGTTATTACATGCTGAGGCTGGACGTTGATTCAAGGCCTAATTTTAGAGTTAAATTTGTGGCCCACGGGCACGCCTTTAGTGGTATTTTGTGACTTTCGTCTGTAGCAGCTTCAAGCAGAAATTTGGCCTCGTGTCGAGTTTTATATGGTATGATTGACTGCAAACACGCAAGCCCTACTCTTTTCCAAGAAATTGCATGCAGTGTTAGAGGGAACATTTCCCAGTCTGGCAAAAAAAGATCCAAATTATTAGCGTGCAAGCACGATCATAGTGCAAAAAATACGACCGCACCAGCAATAAAATTACTGTATTTTTAGTGACCTCCACGCGTCACTCAAGATTAAGCTCTCACTCAGAGTTATAAATGGTTTATAGTGTCCAAATAATAATGTAATTTCTTACAGCACCAGTAGTAACCGGGCGTAGCATTGATTTTTCTGTGCTGAACTGTGTCAGGTTAATCCACATACGTGAATTCTCTCTGAAAAAATTCTGACTCATTTTGTGTGAGAAAAATATTCGGAATATATTAGAATTTATTCATTTTATTTAAAATTTGTGGATTACTTAAAGTAGCTAGAAATTGAGCATATATGAAAAATATAGGATTCATGTTTTTTATGCCCACTCTATATGGTGGACGGATTCACTATTATATATGTATTATGTTCTATTATATATGTATATGTATATATATTATATACCACACCTTATTATATATATGGTTCCACTATTGCAGTTAAGAAACCGAGCTGCAATCAAATCGTCAAACATGAATGTAAAACATATGTTAGCAAGAAAAATTAGGTCGGCCAGAATTTTGTCTCACTCCAAAGGAAAAATATGACATTTCAGAGGGCTCAGCTGCGCGGCTACCTCGTACGTTTGAATCAATTTCGGGAGTTAAATAATTTCAAAACTAAAAGTAACTCAATTTTAACCAAACAAGGTGCAACAACTGTATAAATGCAGCAGAAATAAAAAAGATTTAACAATTTTCTGAAACTTTTCTAGCATTTTTCCATACGTCTATCCATTCTTCCATTTAATTTCACAGCATGCATCGATCTTCGCAGCTTTAGGGTACTTCTAGCACTGAACACCAATAATGACTGACAGCGCTAAATACCAATAATTGATTTACAGCGCTAAACACCACTATTTGACTTACAGCGCTAAACACCAATAATTGACTTACAGCGCTAAACATCACTATTTGACGTACAGCGCTAAATACCAATAATTGACTTACAGCGCTAAACACCACTATTTGACTGACAGCGCTAAATACCAATAATTGATTTACAGCGCTAAACACCACTATTTGACTGACAGCGCTAAACACCAATAATTGATTTACAGCGCTAAACACCACTATTTGACTTACGGCGCTAAACACCAATAATTGATTTACAGCACTGAACACCAATAATGACTTAAAGCGCTAAACACCACTATTTGGCTTACGGCGCTAAACATCAATAATTGATTTACAGCGCTAAACATCAATAATTGACCTACAGCACTGAACACTAATAATTGATTTACAGCGCTAAACACCACTATTTGACTTACGGCGCTAAACATCAATAATTGACTTACAGCACTAAATACTAATAATTGACTTACAGCACTAAACACCAATAAATGACTTACAGCACTAAACATTTATAATTGATATACAGCACTAAACACCAATAATTGACTTACAACGCTAAACAACAATAATTGAATTACAGAACCGAACACCAATAATTTACTTACAGCACCGAACACTAATAAATGACTTACAACGTTAAACACCAATAATCGACTCACAGGGCTAAACGTCAATAATTGACTTACAGCACTAAACACCAATAATTGACTTACAGCGTTAAACACCAATAATTGACTCACAGCGATGAACCCGAATAATAGATTTACAGCACTAAACACCAATAATTGACTTACAGCACTTAACACCAATAATTGACTCACAGCGCAAAACACCAATAATTGATTTACAGCACTAAAGACTAATAATTTACTTACAGCACTGAACATCAATAGTGAATTCACTGTATTAAACATGAATAACGGCCTTACAGCATTGAAACACGAAGCCCAATAATAGGCTTGCAGAATTGAACTCAAAAAGGAATTCAATCGTAGCATGTAATACAGAGAATTAAATTAATTTAGATAGCATATGTATAGATCGAACCCAGAAATTGTGAATATAAAATCGATTAAAATCGCAAAGGAAAGATAGAATTCGCTAATATTAACGTAACAATAATCATCTTGGTAATTATTGCAACGGTAGAATCAGTAAATTTGATTGGACGATCGGCGTGAAATTTTCAGATGTTGAGCCATGCGTTTTAATTAGCGATGATCGATGCAAAATTTCTATTATATCTAATAAATAAAAAAATTTCGAAATATGACGAAAAAAACGCTATGAAGATGTGCGAATTTAATACCACGTTTGCCAGTTTTCACGGATTATCGCAATGCCTTAATGAAAATAAAGAATAAGTTTACCAATTGCATCAAATATGCCTTCATCACGAAGTTTTATATCTACGAGGAATAGGACGCTCTGGTAGCGGTGCCGACCTAAAATGACATCCCTCCTGAATGACTGCTACCTTGGCAATGTCGCCTGCTCGGTGAGTACTAAGCCTAATTTTATTTCATGAGCATTGCGTTTGCTCACGAGCAACGTTCATTTCAGGAGCAGCGTGTTTGTTCGCGAGCATCGCTTTTGTTCACGAGCATCGCTTTGGTTCGCGGTTATCGTGTATTTCACGAGCGTCGCTTTTGTTCACGAGCAACGTTCATTTCACGAGCATCGCGTTTGTTCACGAGCATCGCTTTCATTTCACGAGCATCGCTTATGTTCACGAGCATCGTTCATTTCACGAGTGTAATGAAGCTCGTTGCTTCCTTGGGTTCATTTTTAACAAGTGGGAGGTACTCTCCTAAAAACACTCCTATCAATCAACCAACGTTTATTCAAATAGAACGAAATGAAACAGTTAAACATCAATACGAAAGAACAATTCAGAGGAACACTAAGTATATATACTTAGCATCATAAATACATATTGCGGGTAGACGCTTAACCGTCTCAACATGAGTTAACACAGGTCCAAAAGAACAGACTAGACAAGGCCATGCAGGAGCATATGTTTAGTCTTGAAATGCCTCGTACCCTACGGAACAACTGATATCTAAAAGCGACTACCGTCCGTTGAAAAGATCTGTTCAAAAGGCCAGTCTAGTCAAGAAAAGTACAAGAATCGGCGACAGGCCTATCCAGGCCTATTCTTTAATGCCGAAGATACTATACTACTATACTATACTTCTGGACTCCTTGATCCGAGAACATCCCGGACAGGATCTTCAAGCTGGACCTTCAATCAGGTCTACGGCCCGCTCTCCAGAAGTACACAAGATTCCAGCTCAGCAACCCTACACGTGAAATAAATCATATTTCAATACTAACTGCTTATGTTCATCAAATACGAAATGATAATCACAGTTGAATTAATTCCTAATTTGTGCACAGTACGTTATAATCAAACCTTTAATTCACTATTATGTTCGCAGTAAGCATTAGTTTCGTAACTCACCAATAAAGGCAATGCTTGTCAGCTATGCTAAAGTCAAGGTTTGCTACAGCAAGTTGATAGTGCCGTTAAATGGGTTGCTCACTGTGTAACTACCGGCTTCCAACTGACGTGTCGCGGTCTAATACTAATGTTGTCGCTTCTCATTCAGTGCCTTCTAGAAGTTATTTTACATTCCTGATTTTACATCCTTACAACGAGCATTGCGTTTGATCACGAGCATCGCGTTTGTTCACGAGCATCGCTTTTGTTAACGAGCATCGCGTTTGTTCACGAGCACCGCGTTTGTTCGCGAGCATCGCGTTTGTACACGAGCATCGCTTTTGTTCACGAGCACCGCGTTTGTTCGCGAGCACCGCGTTTGTTCGTGAGCATCGCGTTTGTTCACGAGCATCGCTTTTGTTCACGAGCACCGCGTTTGTTCGCGAGCATCGCGTTTGTACACGAGCATCGCGTTTGTACACGAGCATCGCGTTTGTACACGAGCATCGCTTTTGTTCACGAGCACCGCGTTTGTTCACGAGCGTCGTTCGTTTCCCGAGCATCAAGTTTGTTCACGAGTATCGTTCATTTCACGAGCATCCTTAATTTCAGAAGCTTGTTCAAGCCAACATCAAAGAATCCATCCTTGTTTCCATGTGATGCTTAGTCCGATAGAACCTACACAGTTTTCCCGATTGGCGCATCATCAACGTCTTTCAATTCCTGACTCTGATTTAAATTTTTACCACAAAATTACGGATTGGAAGGTTAAGCTTATATGGTGTCTGAAGGCGTCATACTTTTTTTTGAACGTGTCTGAAAGTCAATTTTAGTGAAAAATTTGTTGGAGAAAAAAATTCTGTTGACCTATTCTTTTCTACATGCCTTTGCAGGAAAATTCTCTTCTCATTTGGGATTAAATTTAAACTTAACTCTTTCGCGACCAATAATAGCGACCTGGCGAAGTCACCGTTCTTTCGTGTAAAAACATTAAATTTCATGTGGTATTTTTCCATTACGGAAATTTAGTCATTGAAAAACGTTGACAGCTGGCATTTTTATTCATCTGGTCATAGATCAGAATGAAATTAAAGGCGATCTAAAGGTCCAATTGAACTGATAAGCTTTACGTATAAATGAAAAACGCCATTTTTCTAGGCGATATATAGTATGTATGTGTTCAGCTGGACTCTATATGATGGGATGAATATGAGAATAAAATAAATCTTCAGGAAAAAATCATACTAAATTTGTTAGAGAATTTATTTAGTTTTCCATATAGTTCACACATATTTTATATATTTTTATTCGAATATTCTATAGCTGATATCGAATCAAACAATAATGATTAAATACCGTTAATTTGCTAACTTCATCAAGTAATTAGGCGTCATAAGTTTTTATGGCAATCAAATCGTTATTAAAATTGCTCGTTAAACTTTTATCGTCGTCGTCGTTATCGTAGGTCCTGGCAAATTAGGCTGTTTCAGTTTTTTCTGCATTCGAGTCGCTCTGAGTTGTGGTTGCCGAAACGCTGTCGCTCGCACCATCGCTGCTGCTGCAAGACAAGCATGGAAGTTTCTTCTCGAGAGCCGCGCGGTATTTGGGGTGACTGATGGCGTACACGATGGGGTTGTACACAGCGTTGGCTTTAGCGAACAGGGATCCCCAAATGGTGAAAAGGGGATTTATCATAGGTTTGTTCAGCATTCCAGCAAAGTTGATCACCAGGTAGGGAGTCCAAGCGATGAACCAAAGGGCAACGGTAGTGAGAGCTACCTTGGCAAGTCGGCATTCGGCGGAGGTCTTCTGGGCTTCTTCGTTTCGCAGAGATTTGACTCCCATTTTCTTGGCTTGTTCTCGCATCTGCTTTTCATGAGCGAACACAGCAGAGACAATGAAAGTGTAGTAGTAAATGATGAGGATCAAAGGGAGGAAGTATACCCAGGCACCATAAACGTACAAGTAGCTTTGGGACACCCATCCTTCCGTCAGGTAATCCGTGCCGCAGGCTGTCAAGTTTCCTTCTGGTACGTAACGGTTCCACCCGAAGAATGGAAGTAAAGTCCACGCCAGCGAGAAAACCCAGACGAGCATGATTCTGATCAGGGCTCCTGTGTTCGTTAGAGGCGTTCCGGAGACCCCTTTAACGATGACATTGTAACGATCTGCCGTGATGAAGACCATGCTCCAAATGGAGGCACATCCAAACAAGGATCCAAAGCATCCATAGATTTCACAAAAGAGGGCACTAAAGGCCCAAGTACCATAGTAACAACTGGTAACCATGGGTGGGAACATTGTTGCCATCATTCCGAAATCAGACAGAGCGAGGTTTACGACCAGTAAGTTAGCAGGTGAACGAAGACTCTTCGTGTTCAAGAACACCCACATGACGATAGTGTTTCCTGTGATCGAGAGGATCCCGAGCACCGTGATTGTGAATCCAAGTAGCCCATACCACATGGGGTTTAAAGGAGGGAACTGGTACCAGTGAGGATCGATCATGTGAAGGATCTCTTTGGGTGCGGCGTCCACCACCGTGAAGTTGCCGAAGGGGTTGGTCGAAATATACCCAGCATCGGGCATGGAATTTCCGGGACGGTTCATCCACTGAGACATCTGGAAGAAATTGATTACATATCAATGGCCAGCTATGGACTGATATGTTAAAACTTACTTTACTTGAGTTACTAAAGTCATTTGAGACTTCATCGAAAAAATTTAGGTTGCAATATATATTTTGTATAGGAGCTGCAATATATTTAGGTTATAAATTTCACATTTTTGTGTCATGTTCATGTGAATATTCAACAGTTTATCTCTAGTTTTATGGTATCTTACCGAATTACAGAAAACTATTAAACAAAAATATTGCACTTCCTTAGAATCGCTTATGCAAAGTAAGCAAATTTGCACATCTAAGACCACCTTTAACTATTTACTCGTATAGATAAATACTACCAGTATAGATAGATACTTCATTTGCTCCAGATGGGACATAATGAAGATTACTTTGATTGCCGCTAAAACAAGGATAATGAAATTCCCGATTAAACACTTACCTTGGTTGTATACTTGGTTGATCCTTACAAAGTTTTAAAAATTTATGCCTTTTTAAGTTAAAAGTTCACTCAATGCCCATGAGTTGCGGGGTTCTAAACATAACCCACAACCTGACCTCCAAGTTATTCCTTCAACTTCTCAGGAATCTAACGTTAATCAACGTTAAAAATTGTTTTGTTAAATAATTTAGATGGATGATCACTACGAAGCTGGTGCAACGAGCGATCTACGGCCCGAACAAGAACTGCTACATAAGCGCGTCTCATTATTTATGTGGCTGACGCCTGCAGCAGCTTTGGTCGTTAATCTCATTAGCGATGTACGGCTTCTAATCCGCTTATCAAAAGACCAAAATAATTACCTACGACGCAATTTTATCTTTAGGATATATTTTTTGCACTGTTCTAGCGAATGCTTGACATTCATGGCAAGGCATTGCTAGAATAGTTCGTTGAATGCTTGATATGCATAATGAATTACTGCTTGAATTAATAATTGTATGAAATATCAATAATCACAACCGCTTAAACGGTTGTGCGATTTTTCGTTTAGCTATTCTTAACTATTTAATTGTGTCCTCGGGTATCAAAAAAACTGTTTTTTTTGTCTTTTTCCAGCTACAATTTTATCAGTTGTCATCAAAAAATATAACGAAGATAATTAATCAATATTGTTATTGAAAGTATGGTAAATACGTGAAAATATGAAATACCATTGATATCATGCATGACGCTACGGACTGTGATTTTTAACGTAGAAAATTACTGTAATTAAAAAAAATGTTATCTCTTCAGGTTGCAGTCATGTAATTTGATTGCTACTTAAAGAAGTTTCTAGTTATAATATATTAGCCTAATTTTTTGGTTAGTGATTTTAGCAGAAAGGCTTTTGATGATTATTACGATCAGAAGCATGCGTACAGTAGCATAGACTGCTACTCGTTACTCGACTTGCAGGCAAATAATTTTATATTTAAATTACATTAAAGTCATTTAATCTAAATTTACAAGTGAAAATACCTGAAAATTTTAAATAGTAGATATACCTGAAATACCTGGAAATTTTCAATCGATTTTCTTGGTATCTTTGTACCTAAGATTTTTATGCAATTTCTTTCGCGTTTAAATTCTCGTCAATGATGCACCAGGTCTGCATTTGGGTTCTTTCTTGTGTGACTGATCGTGTCAACAAACATAATGTAATTAGTTAACGATTTTGTCTTACGCTTAAATTGGTAACTTTTTCTAATTTTTTTTATAGAACGATAATCGCTACCGTACTTCTAGTTGTTGTTCTAAAATCTACTGTTCATTTTCATGCGCCCTTGTCCTACATTTTTTTTTGTTCCCATTGTCTTTCTTCCTACATATTCACTATCCTTATTTTTCTTATATATTTGAATAACATTAATTTTAATGGGGTCAAATATTTTAGGTTTCACTGCGGCAATTTCCGTCTAATGCAAATCTGGACGGACATCATATATTTATTTATTTAGAAAGGTATATAAACAAGAAAATTGCAATTCTTTTTGAAAATTATACCATAAGTTATTAGTTTTGACTTTATATAGCTGTACTCGTGTCACTCTTTATGGCATAATTTACTCTTTACTGATACTCCTTACCTGAGTTTATAATTACACAGCACTCGTTCAAAAGAATCATGTGTTATCATAATATTTTCCCTACCCTGAAATTCCTTATTCAAACATACTACTATGATATTATTCTTCTTTTTAGCTGAAGAGCTTCTTTCTGAATCTTTTTCTTATTCTGAAAGCTTTTGCCTTTCTTCTTCACTAATGATCATACTTATTCTTCAGAGTATTAATTTCTGTTAAAAAATATCGTAGTAATTTTTTTTCATCTGAAGATATTAGAAAAATTATTGAGCCCCTCTCTACAAGATGAATATAGGAAGCCTTGTGCATGCAGGCTGAGTACAGTCGAGACGTGTGGTCTCAAGAGGCCAAATCTTGGTAGCCTGACAATGATGACCTTCAAACCAAATTAAGAGGTTATTGCGCTACAAGTTGATTACCTTTTTGATTTTCACATTCACGTGAATCACATTCATTCATTAATTCTGGGTTTTAGTGGAACATTTATTCATGCCGCAAATCTTCATAGGGAAGCTTGACAAGTGCACATTATTTTTTAATTGCAGCACATTATTTTTTAAATGCGATATTTATAAACAAAAATGAATTAATTTTTTGGCTCAGTTTTGTTAAACTGTTAAAGGAACAGTTTGATTTCGTTGGAAAATAGGGTTTTGAGTTGGCGAAGTATTCGAAATTGGGAAATTGCATAATAATATAGGTTCAATGCAATGCAAATTCTTTAAAAAATCAGTAGGATTTAAATGTTGATAAACTTGAATAATCATTTCAATGTTTTAGATTGTTATTCTGAAAGGAAATTCCTCGTAGAGTTTAAAACAAGATGTATAAATCACACTTTTCTGCCTTTTTAATCTCTTTCTCAAAGTAACTAAAAAATATTCCACAGACTTAAAAAAATTTTTTGCTTCTAAGTTAGTGGATCTTTCTTCAAAATGATGTTAAATTTTTATGTTTCACCTTCTTTTAGACAGGCCTATCCAGGACTATTCTTTAATGCCGAAGATACTATACTACCTACCGCAAAACGATATTGCGCTGAAAGCTTTTGCCCTTGCAACGTGTTTCGTACTCATAAAGTTTTGTAATTGACAAGTTTATTAAATGATGTTAATTATTGGTGCATTATTATTGATATATTATAACACAAAAAGACGAAAAGCAAGATAAAAAAACGATAAAAGCACCCATAGCAAGTACATGTAGAGGCTAATGAGGTTTGCAGGAGATAAGCAACTGATAATCATTTTAAAAATTTCAATATTAATATTAGCCAGTAAAAGTTTCTACCGAAAAAGGCATATTATGTAAATCTGGCACTTGATGACAATGATGACACTCTATTGCTAAAATAAAAATAACATTAGCAAGACCATATTTAGATTCACATTAGTAAAGATTTCCGGGTTGCCCTTTAACTCGCAGAACATTTTCTATATTTAAAAAACTGACCGGTTCACTTGATTAAATTATTACCAAACCGAAGGTAGATTGAAGATGTCGCTTCCGATACTGAGGGTTTGTCCGCCGAGAAGAGGGAACGCCATGCCTAAGTGGATAATTGTCCCGTAAAAGAGGTTATATTATATATTAATATGCATCAGTAATTGGGATGAATAACTTCGATAAATTTGTTAGATTTTGGACCGTCTGTCCAATTCGTCAAATGAATAAAAATATAACACAGTACTCACTGCAGTGAGTGACAGAGAGCGCATTTTCTCGTCGACGAAAACTTGAGGTCACGGACGGACAGACAGACGGATAGACGGACGGACGGACGGACAGATGGACAGACAGACAGACAGACAGACAGACAGACAGACGGACATGGCGAGCACAATAGTGTATTTTTTCCATAAATGAGAAAATGCGCTAAAAATGTTGCCATTGTAGCCTATTGTTGCAGTCATAGCTTATTGTTGCCGCCGCAGCCTATTGTTGCAACCGTAGATATTTTTTGCCGGTGTAGCTTATTGTCAGCGTCGTTGTCTATTGTTTCAACTGTAGCCCATTGTAGCTATCGTAGCCTATTGTTGTAGCCGTAGCCTATTGTTGCTATCGTGGCCTATTGTTGCCGTTGTAGCATATTGGTGCCATCGTAGCCTATTGTTGCCATCGGAGCCTATTGCTGCCATCGTAGCCTATTGCTGCCATCGTAGCCTATTGTTACAATCGTATCCTATTGTTGTTATTGTATCCTACTGTTGCTACTGTATCCTATTGTTGCCATCGTAACCTATTGGTGCCATTGTAGCCTATTGTTGCAACTGTTACCTATAGCCATCGTAGGCTAGCCCAAAGGACATAAAAAAATTTCAAATTAATTATGTAAATAATATCTACCAACGGTTCTCAAATATTGAGCTATTGGATGTCAGCCGATTTCATTGTTTGGTTTTCTCCTCATTATTATTGGGATTTGGACAATGTTAAACTTTTCAGTGAATGTGTGTGAGAAATATTGCTCGTCGCCATAATTTTTAGTTTCTGTAGTTGGAAAGGGTTAGGAATTGCTTATAAGCAAATCGAAAGTGAGTAAGGTAGAAAACCGTGTGATTATTTAAGAAAATTTCAAGGTAATTTTGATTCATATTGCCATCACAACAGAATTTTCACATTCCCGTGACGTCAAGAAGAAACCCACTAGATAAATTAATCCCTTTAGTTGGGCTGGATACCATAGCAAGTCGTCCAACAACCTAATGAGATTAACGTCACTAATGAGGTAGTCAAGGCTTTAAAAAGACTGGTTTCAGTGCATGGAATCATTGGTTCTTCACGTGGCCTAAGTGCGCTGTGTAGACCAGACCTTGCTTCTCTCTTGACCGCCTGAAGTAGTTCCTCGACGGAAATTTCTTCAGCAACCTCTTTGCTTCCTGTAGACGGAAAACTCTTGGAAAAGTGAGTATAATTTTATTGTAAATACGAGTATAATATACGCAAATTCGATAGATAAATGCTGCCCGTTCTTCTTATCGCTTACTTAGCTATGTTATTTTTCGGTAAAAGACATTTGGTTGCTCAAAAGAAATTTCTTCAGCAACCTCTTTGCTTCCTGTAGACGGAAAACTCTTGGAAAAGTGAGTATAATATTTTTGTAAATACGAGTGTAATATACGCAAATTCGATAGATAAATGCTGCCCGTTCTTCTCATCGCTTACTTAGGTATGTTATTTATCGGTAAAAGAAATTTGGTTGTTCAACGGAAATTTTTTCAGCAAACTCTTTGATTCCTGTAGACGGAAAACTCTTGGAAAAGTGAGTATAATTCTATTGTTAATACGAGTATAATATACGCAAATTCGATAGATAAATATTGTCATTTCTTGTCATCGCTCACCTAGGTATGTTATTTATGGTAAAAGACATTTGGTTGCTCAAAGGAAATTTTTTCCGCAAACTCTTTCTAAGTGAATGAGTAGAATTACATTGTGAAAAGTGAGTAGAATTCTTTTGTAACTATAATTTTTTGTAAATTCGATAGATAAAAGTTGCCCGTTCTTCTTATCGCTCACTCAGGTATGTTATTTATGGTATAAGGTATTTTACCATTTACCATACCAATGGTATTTTACCATTGATATACTTTAAATGGGAAGTGAGAACAGCTGACTGACAGTATGATTTATGAAGTAGGTGACCGGGAGATGAATTGAAAGATCTTTTGCATTTCCAAAATCGAATTTTAAGAGAGTGTGTTTCTGAGGGTATTAAAAAAATGAAGTGAGAGTTTTTTAAAAATCATCCATAGAATTATCAGCAGGTTAATTATTTAATTTGATTTGTATCTATTCTTGCGACTAGTTAAGATAAATGACCATATCAGACTATGATTACAGTACAGTACTACAGTGCATTACTACAGTACAGTATTAAATCCGCAGGTTAAAATTTGAGCTGTATATATGAAATATGAAATATTCTATAATGATAAAATTTAAATCTGTTTTTCGATTAAATCGTTAAATGATGACACAATTTCTTGCAGATGGTGTCTTGGAACAACCCAGCAAGCATGCTTCCCGAAGGGATACTTTCGACCAACCCATTCGGTAACTATACCGTCGTGGATGCGGCTCCGAAAGAGCTGCTGCACATGGTTGACTCTCACTGGTACCAATACCCCCCACTCAACCCTCTGTGGTACGGACTCTTGGGCTTTGCCATCTTCGTCCTCGGAATGCTCTCCATCGTCGGAAACGCTGTCGTCATTTGGGTCTTCATGAACACGAAGAGCCTTCGATCGCCCGCCAACCTGCTCGTTGTCAACCTCGCCGTCTCCGACTTCTGCATGATGTTCACCATGTTCCCGCCCATGGTCGTGAACTGTTATTACCACACGTGGTCTTTCAGTCCCTTCTTCTGCGAGCTGTACGGTTTCTTTGGATCACTTTTTGGCTGCATTTCCATCTGGACCATGATTTTCATCACCATCGACCGCTACAACGTCATCGTGAAGGGTGTCTCCGCCGAGCCTCTGACTAGCAACGGTTCTCTCATGCGAATCCTCTTCGTGTGGGTCCTATCTCTGGTGTGGACTATCCTTCCCTTCTTCGGATGGAACCGATATGTGCCTGAGGGTAACCTGACTGCTTGTGGAACTGACTACCTCACCGAATCTTCTTTCTCCCACTCTTATCTCTACATCTACGGTACATGGGTGTATGTCCTCCCCTTGGTCATCATCATCGGTGCGTACTCCCAGATCGTTTCTGCCGTGTTTGCCCACGAGAACCAGATGCGCGAGCAGGCCAAGAAGATGGGAGTGAAGTCCCTACGAAGCGAAGAGGCCCAGAAGACTTCCGCTGAGTGCCGACTCGCCAAGGTTGCCCTCATGACCGTCTCTCTCTGGTTCATCGCCTGGACCCCGTACTTGGTGATCAACTTCGCCGGTATGAACAACAAATCCATGATTAGCCCACTTTTCACCATCTGGGGATCTCTGTTCGCCAAGGCCAACGCTGTGTACAACCCCATCGTGTACGCCATCAGCCACCCCAAGTACCGTGCTGCTCTGGAAAAGAAATTACCGTGCCTGTCGTGCAGCGGCAACAATGACTCTAACGACTCCGTGTCGGTCACCACCGCCCAAAGCGAGCAGCCCATCACCGAGAAAACGGAGAGCGCTTGAATTTTTTCCATGGTTTTCCATTGTCCTTAAAACCCTTGACCTAGAGATACTTCCAAAAGTGTTGATTTTGTTTTCGTGTTAATTTGGTTGCTTAGATCACCGATCCTTGTCCTCTTTCTTTCCAATAAACCCTGCAATTGCTTTAAAAATATATCGTGTGTGTAAATATCCTATTGATTAAAACTTTATTTAAGATCAAAAGGCATTAATCTGATTAAACGATTCAAGATTCAGATTTCTTTACTTTTTAAAAACGCAGAAAAATATTTTCGGATCAACCACTAGATAAAAAAGAAAAAGATTTTAGAACAGTAATGGAGTAATTTCACTTAGAATTAGTCAGCCACTATTTTAATAAAATTTTTCTCGTAAACTGATCTCGCTGTATGAATAAAGCATACCTACTGCCTAGTCTAGTTCAGGCAAGAATTTCTGCTGAATTTGCAAAGTTTCCTATACTATAATTGTTTTTACACTAGGCGATAACAGAATATAGATAGGCAGCATAAACATTATTATTACTTATTTTGCAATAGGCAATAACAGAATATAGATAGACATCATAAGCATTATTATTACTTATTTTGCAATAGGCAATAACAGAATATAGATAGACATCATAAGCATTATTATTACTTATTTTACAATAGTCAATAACAGAATATAGATAGGCATAACAAACACTATTATCATTACATATTTTACAATAGGCAACAATAGAATGTAGATATGCATCATAAACATTAGTAGATAATCAATCAAAGGAACATCTGATCACCAGGATTTTGTCATAAGGAGATTGCGTGAACTTTTTATCTACTTTGGATGAAAAAATATGGCATCTGCAATTGTGGCCGGCAAAATCAGTGGAGGAATGCAAGACGTGACATGTGAACACGCATCCAGCAGCTGTTGAGATGGAGTTTAGTTTACCACGTGGTATATTCGCACGCCTGATTATGTTTTGCTTGTGAGCAACACGTGCTTCCCATGGGACTTTCATAATGCAGGTCTACTTAAATTAATAATTAGCCGCTCAAGTGCTACTTTAAAACGGAAATCCGTTTTTTTGTGTGGCCTAATGTTAAAAGAAGTTAATGTTTTGATGGAATTAAATTAAGTTTAATTAAGTTTTATTCTCGATTCTCGGAAATTAAGTTTTGAAGGAATCGACAATTGATATAACATACGAAATAAAATTAACCATTTTTATTTTGAAGTGCGTTGACTGTGAAAAACTTGAAAAACTTGTTTTGCCTACATAACCTATCAGTACTTGTCACAATCTAGTAGCGTTCAATTGGCACACGGCAGGCATTAGGTGTTCACCTGCGACACACATGGCGACTTTATTATCATGAACGAGGCCAATAATAACGGTATCAATCATACAAGCGGTTACTTCCCACGGTGTCTCGAACTTAAATACATCGAGAAATTTCAGCTTTTCACTTTGGAGTGAGCGCAACGAAGAGAAAAGTTAGATAGACGCGTCGAGATGGCCAGAGTGAACATTTCAGCAGTGCTACTCATTGCTCTTTGCATTGCTGGTAAATAATATTAGCAGAGCCTGGTAGTTATCGAATTATTTTCGATAATTTTTAATTTAGAATAAAACTATAAATTATTTTTAAAACTTTACTTGATCATTGTATATATGAATAAGAATTCTGGTATATTAAAGTTAAAAAGACATTACAAAATAAGAAATTATTCAACTGGATGTTGGGAGTAATGATTATTATTTTTCTCTAATTTTGGAAACCAAATTTTAATTTTTAATTAAAAACAATATTTTTGGTGAAGCAAAATGCTAAATTAGACTTATATCATTACTGCTTGTCAGTGTAACTATTTATTTTAATTTGACAAGTTATAAACGAGCATCCGAGGTGGCTTCAATAACAAATATTGCTTCCATCTATTGTTGTTCCGTTGTTAAATGAAAAAAATTTAGAATTTGAATTTAATGAAAACACCATTACACATCGCACCATTACTAATGAAGGAGCAGTCATTCCTGAATTCGGTGTGGTCCATTATTTTTCTCGACTGAACACTTTAATGGCCGTCAGCCATTGAGAAATAGTCACGATGCTGCAACAAAAGTTGACCATCATTAAAGTAATACAAAGTAGAAATAATAAAGTTTCCATTTTAGGGATACTGCAAATGATAAATATCGCAAAAATTATCGAGTATACATTTTTATATCGAGAGTGATTATATTATTTGTAAGCGAACAGTATTCTAGTTATCTGAGATGTTTTCGAACAAACACTAACTATATAATAGCCCCTATAATATATATTATAAAACAAAAAAATATAAATATATAAAAAATAACTAAATTCAAAAGAGAAGTAAAATATTTCTTTTATTCTCAGAGACTAATGTAAGTTAAATTTAGATTAAAGGGAACCGTGGCGAAGAATACATTGTGTTAGGCCCAAACCTGCATATATTTTGCTTCACCTTTTCACCGTTAGTGGCAGATTCGATGACGGCATTTCTCTTTTTTCCCGAAAAATATTCTTGCTTGATTTGGAGCGGTCGCAAGTTCAAGTTTTTTTGTGGCAACGCCGTGCATGGGAGCTCCAAATGCAGCCATTATGACGAACACAAATAAGAAGATCTGATTAAAAAAGTATAACTGTAATTAGCAAAATTATTTAGAAAACTATAATAAGTAAAAATTATACCTTAATTGCCAGTATATGCAAAGATTCGGTGCTGGCGGTACTATTCGTTTAATTTTTCAAATTAATTTAAAATTTATTGAATTGTATTGGTCAAAATGTCAACAATCACACATTACCTGTAGTTTCATATTTTCGGAAAATTGTATTTGCTCAAAACTCTTTATTCGAATTAACAGTACAGATGTAAAAAATTGTAAATGTTTTTAGCCGATTTTTATTGTTAAATTAAATCGCTTTAGTGAAATTCTGCGACACTCCAGAGTAGGTTACGCTGCTTCGCTATACTGTCAATGCAAGACTGGAGCCGAACTCAAATATAGTCACGAGTTCATGACTCCACTAGACCGCTTTTCATTGGCGGTTTTTCATGAGGAACTCACCAATCACAGACGAGAAATCGTCCGCTATGTGTATTTAGATAAGTTTTAATAGTACGGCTGTGAATTCGAGATGGCATTAGGAGGCTTCATACACCTGTTCAAAGAAGCGCTGTAAGCTCAGCTGTTCCATCAAGCTGTCGTTGGGCTAGAAACCACATTGCCAAAGCTCCAGTATATTTAATGAGGTCATACATGGAAAAAATGAACATTTTCTTATTGCTAGATTCATATGACATTCTGAAAATCCCACTGTGATTAGATACTTTTTGTAGACACACGTTTACTTTATTATTGTTAGTTTGACATTGTGTTTGGAATTATGAAAATCACCAAAAAATCACGAAAACTACAATGGCTGCTTCAATTTATCATGAAACCTACAATTTCTGCTCCATTTAATCGCATGGCTACATACCTGGGAAACATTTTTATTGTTAAAATTGAAATTATAATTTCAATATTATTATCATACTGAACATTTAAATTTTCATTCCTATAATCTCTCTGCAGCGGCACAGGCACAATCGTGCGTTAAACTTTGCAGGTAGACACAACGATTACAAGTATTATAATCATTATTATATTTTTCATATAATAGTTTTATTACTATTATCATATTCATCATTACTTTTATTTTCATACATATTTGTTTAATGTTTTCACTCTAGCTGGTCGCTTGCAGAATCATGCGCTGGGCGGTGCGGAAGAAACGGAGGCTACAAGTCTTATCATTATTATCAATCTTTTTAAAAAATGATAGTTTTCATTACTATTGTCATATTAGTCACTATAATTTCATTCCATTTTACCTTGCAGGAACGACCGCATAATCATGCGTTGGACGGTGCAGAGAAAACGGCGGTTAAAAGTCTTTTCATTATTATCATTCTTATTCCAAATGACAGTCTTCATTACTTTTGCCATTTAACCAATATAATTTAATTCAATTTTTGCCGTGCAGGGGCAAATGCACAATCATGCGTTGGACGGTGCGGAGAGAACGACGGTACGACAGGTTGTCAGTGCAACTCTGTCTGTTCAAACTTCGCCGATTGCTGCAGGTTTGAAAGACTTCAGAGTGAAAAGAAAATCTTTATTCACTTTAACTTTGATGAAAGGCTGCAATTATAAATTTTTATTAGTTTTTACTTGTGTCTTAATCTTAGTTAGCTTTAATTTTGACGAAAGGCCTTAATTAAAGCATTTTTATTAGTTATTTAATTATGTCTTAGTCTTAATTTGCTTTAATTTTGATGGAAGCCTCCAATTAAATTATTTTTTATTCATTTTTCATTATGTTTATCATCGAACGAAACTCTTTGAAAAATTACTGGCTTGGGACAAACAACAATATTACTGGTTTGGGAGAGAAATCATCTAAATGGCTTCTCTATGATAAAATATTTATGTCATTCGTTTGCTTGAATCGCTAATCAAATGGAAATTTAGAAGCAAAGAAAATCCCATAAAATTCAATCTTTATAGAAAACGTTTTTATTAATTTAATATATCAGTATGATAACTCCAAAAAAATTTCTGTTGCCTTTTATATAGAGCAGAAAGATGCTCTGCTTTTACAGAGCCCTCATTACAACTTGGAAACAATATAAAAACTAATAATTTTTCTTATAGTGAAACGCTGCATTATTTCAATCAAATTTAGATATAATACTCTTGAATTTAAGATAAATGAATGATTAATTCTACTTCGTTTTAACAGCTTTCTTCTTATCGTACTGAGTAATTACTTTTTTTCTGCAAATTTTAAATTTATTATAATATTTGGTTGCAGTGATTACGAAGCCGTGTGCCTGACTTGCTCTGACCGCTGCGGTGACCCATACGTGTCGTCCGCTCCGTGTCATTGCAACTCTGAATGTTCCTCGCACAACAACTGCTGTTCGGATTACGACGCTCTTTGCGGTCAGTAGTTTTCCCGGTGATTGGCACAGTCCGCTAATCCGCTAATCTGCTAACAGCTAATTAGCGAAGCTAACTTTTTCCTTAGCCGTTGTGCCACACTGTCAGTGTGGCATACCGGCTAAGGAAAAAGTTAGCTCCGCTAATTATCGGTTAGCGGGTTAGCGGACTATGCCCACCACTGACTGTTTTCCATTAATATGACCGTTTTACTTGACAGTTCTACTCATATTACAGACGAATAGTTATAATACAAAATTACAAGCCGCACAAAATTACTCGTAGATGCTTGCATGTGAGTTAATTTTTTCAGGGTGAACTTATCTGTTTAATTAATATTTATGTGTATGGGAGATCAAAAGCTTTGTTTCATATATAGGTTCAAGAAACTTATATATCTCATTAATATGTATATACAACATTATAGTTTTTCCGATATTAGGAATTCCTAGGAAACACGTTCCTTTCCAAAAGGTTTTTCTTCCGCTAGATAAAAAACTAAATTTTTAGCGCATTTTCAGCGTGAATGGCGCAAATGCACTATTGTGCTCGCCATGTCCGTCCGTCCGTCCGTCCGTCCGTCTATCTGTCCGTCCGTGACTTCACGTTTTCGTCGACGAGGAAATGCGCTCTCTGTCACTCACTGCAGTGAGTACTGAGTTATAGAATTATATATTTTATATAGTTATATTTTTTATTGTGTGTACCCTGAACAGGAGGATCTACTGGCGGGTCAGTCACCAATGCCGAAATTCTCGCCATCACTGAAGAGCTCGGCGCGCTGGACGCCAACAACGTGGCTACGTCAGTCGTGATCGACATGCAGGGGAAGACTACGAGCGGGTCTACCGCTGACCTGGCGCCCGGACCGTGAGAACTTTATGATAGGAATATATCATAAAATATATATCAGTGTAATAAGATAATGTTAGAATAAATAATTATGTGAAATGGATGATAAATCTTTGTGACTGGAATATATCATAAAATATATATCAGTGTAATAAGATAATGCTATAATAAATAAATATGTGAAATGGATGATAAGTCTTTGTGACTGTAATATATCATAAAATATATATCTGTGTAATAAGATAATGTTATAATAAATAAATATGTGAAATGGATGATAAGTCTTTGTGACTTTAATATATCATAAAATATATATCTGTGTAATAAGATAATGCTATAATAAATAAATATGTGAAATGGATTATAAATCTTTGTGACTGGAATATATCATGAAAAATATATCAGTGTAATAAGATAATGCTATAATAAATAAATATGAGAAAGGGATGATAAATCTTTGTGACTGGAATATATCATAAAATATATATCTGTGTAATAAGATAATGCTATAATAAATAAATATGTGAAATGGATGATAAATCTTTGTGACTGGAATATATCATAAAATGGTATTTATGTGAAATAAGATGATGCAAATAGGAATAAATATGCGAAATGGATGATAAATATCGTAGATGAATAAGAGATGATGAAAACAAGAATACAGCGTTAGATGATGAGAACAGTGAAATGTATTGTGATGGTGAAAACTGGAATATAGCGTGAGATGATGAAAACAGGAATACAGTATGAGAAGAGTAAAATGTATTGTGATGGTGAAATCTGGGGAAAAATGCGAGATGATGAGAACAGTAAAAAATATATTGAAATGACGAAAGCAGGAATATATAATGAGATGATGCAAGCAGTGTTATATCATGATAATATAGCTGACTGAAGAAGGTGGAGCTTAATGAGAAAATCACGGTTATTTGCAATAGGAGTATATCATGTGATGACGTTGACAGATGTACAACATGGGTGATTCTAACAGGAATGTATCATCAGATGATGCAACACGAAACAAGTCATGAGATATCGTGAAGAGGGCAGATAGAAATAAATCATGATATTCAATAAACAGTAATAAATATCAATATTAAATTGATTTTTTATTATATTATTCACTTTCTAAACACCGTGTCTACTTGCCTCCAGGCTGTTTGTAACCGTTCCTGAACTCACGGCTGACACGTTCGTCCTTTTCGAGGCGCTCAGAGACAACTATGCACCATATGTGAGTATGGGACTTTAATTATATAAGGAGGATAATTGTGCTGAATTTAAAAATTGTTCATTTACCTTAGTTTAAAAAATTCATCTCACAAGAAAATAATTAAATAAACAAAACAAGAATTGAAAAAAAAAGGATTCATTCATATCATTTTTGGTGTATAAATAGTTGTTGTTTACCTAGATTTATTTATTAATAGTATACATATTTCACCCTCGCGTGCTTTTTCATTTTTCGAGAAACACTTCTCCTGAGACATGTCTACTTTCATCGATACCGTATCACGTAGATTGAAATCAATACTTCCAAAATCCATGAAATAATGCTTGGTAATTTCAAAGCTCGCTTTAAACCGCTACTTGATTTTGTCGGGACATATATCCGACAAAATCTATATAATATATAATCTATATAAATATATCTTAAATCTATATATCTATATTATATATAATTTGTAGTTGATATTTTCAAAGCTCGCTTTAATCCGCCACTAGATTTTGTTGGCACCAAAATCCACGAAATAATTCTTATTTTTGAATTTATATTTTGCTTTAATGCACTTCTTGATTTTATTGACAATTTTTCTGAAGTTTGGGGATTTGAGCAGACAAATGTGGCCGAAGACAACACTCTGGCAGAGCAGGCTGAGGTGGCTAGCTTCTTGGATGCAGTGTTAGCCACTCCTCTCATGGTCAGGCTCGATCAGTTCATGACTGAGAAGCGTGAGTCAATCTAGGTTTATAAGTTTAATAGATTTATCATATTTTCTGAAGAAATTTGAGATAATTTATGCATTGCTTGAATTTCCAGGTAACTGCTGTGAGATATTCCTTCTTTCGTGGATGCATTATAGCTTATATTTTTATTATAGCATGATCACTGTTCAGATTACTATACTGAATTTGAAATCGGTAAATTAGGTGATGGATCTGATGTAGATACAAGTCGAAAACTTGTAAGTAAGGTATTTTTTAATCTCAACTTGATTCATTTTTTTAAATTCTATTGCTGGTAAGATTTTTACGCAATTTATGGGTGTAATCAAAAATGACCGCATTGACCATAACAGCAATTCTGAAGTACATCATCTATACTCTAATTAAATTATCATAATGTATATTAGTGAGCATTTTAATGACAAAGCTTATATTACAAATCGTGCTTGAAAAGAACTTCATTAGGTGTAAGTTTCTAAAGATAGATAAAATTGGAGTGCTGTTCCCAGCTATGTATTAAGAGAACACCGAAAATGGAATTATTTACAGTGGTGGTACGAGCTTTGAATGAGTTACGTTGACACATGTCACTGTTTCTCATCCTTACGGCCACTTTGCAGATTCCGGCCTAAATTTAAATTTCTAGTTGCGTTTAACTTACTAATCTAATTTCGGTGATCTTCATAACTAGGCCACACCGAGCTTTTGATGTTAAATATGCACTCGTAACACAGGCATAGAATTTATGCAGCTAGTCAAGAATATCTTGAATAATGGGTGTGGATGATGTTTAAGAATAGTGTTGACACATTTTATTTTTAAAGAGTTGATCACGGGAACCCTGCGCCAGAACATCGAGGAAATCTGGTTCACTCTGTACTCTCGCTCTGGGTCCACTCTGGGATCGTCTGGGTTCGAGCACAGCTTCGTGGGGGAGCTTGAGGGGGGTGACGTGGGGGGCTTTCACAACTGGGTGAGCTACGAGATTGAAGAAGCTGCGGGTAACACTAATTACCGAGGCTACATCGAATACACGGACCTCGGAACATCTGTGAGTTATTAGTCAAGTCAATAAAAAAAGTATATAAAAGTTAAAATTCTGTTATTAAAAATATGAGTTGAAAACTCTTATTATAAATTGTTATAATAAATTCAAAATTTGCTATTGAATTTCGATTAATATAATTTTTAGCATTTTGCTCAGCATTAATTTATCGATAAGCTCGTCATTTTATCGTTTATATGGACGAACAAAAGGAAAAACAACTTATCCTTTAATCTATACATTCGCTACTCGATGCATTGATTAACTCAAAAAAGTCTCAACCGTGGATCCATAGGTAAATTCGGTTCTCCATGGATCTTTATCTTCAATATTGGAAGTTAATAATGTTTGCTATTCTCTTTACTCCTCGATACTCTGATGAATTCTGTCTCTTCAGGGCTACGTAAACATAATGAGGAATTAATTATCCCTTTTATTTTTGGAAAGAAGTCTTTACTATGAAAACCATTTATCAATTCTGTTCTCTTCCGGGCTACGTTCCCACTAAAGGAAATTAATAATTTTTAATTAAATAATTTAATTGATAATCTTTAATTAAATTATTTAAGTAATTATTTTCAATTAAATAATATAATTAATAATTTTTAATCAATCAATTCAATCAATAATGTAATTTAATTTTGATCAATTCTGTTGTTCTCAGGGCTACGTGTTCACCAACCAATTCACATGGTACGACGCTGAGAAACCCATTGGGGGATATCTGATCGGAACGTCACCAGAGTACGAGCTCGCCGTCTACACGCTGTGTTTCTTCGCGCGACCCAACGCGCAGTGCCACGTACAGACCAACGGCGTCGAATATTTCATACAAACTTACGAGCTCCAATCTAACGGACTTACGCTTGTTGGTAGCGCGTATCCCGGCGTGGTGTAAGCTGAAAAAATTACGTTTGCGTTAACGACATTTTTGTCATTCCGTTTAAGCAATATATCAATTTCCTTCGTATCATTTCTCTACCTTTTTACACTCAACTATTGGTGTTCGATAAGTAAATAAAACAAATGAAAGTTTTGTATGGGAGATTGATAGAAATTTCACTGCAATCACGCATTAAAAGCAATCAAAAATGTTTAAAAATAATTGACGTACATTCAAATTTTTTGTATAGATTTTAAGTTATGAATTTCTTTCACCCACTGCATCGAAAAGTAAATTTTTGCCTAATACACTGAAAATGTTTTCCATGTTATTTATATCCTATTGCTATTACAAGTAATGCAATGATGCTTCATTCCAACTTATTTATTTAGATGAGATTTACTTTTGATCAAAATCCAAGCTAATGTAGCAACTGCAAATTTTTTTCCGTGTCAAAATAAGTCTATGGCAAGAAAAAAAACAACTAGCGTAAAAACAAGCGAATTTTAAGCTCGTATTCACATCGTTGTCGCTTGCGATCTCGAAAAATGTTCAGCGGAAATTAGCACGACATTCTTTCAAAATAATTCCTAATAAAATGATCTTATCTGGTAACTTTTATGACTCAAAAAATATTTTCGTACCTGCATATCCTTTACGATCCCTACCTTAACGATCCCTACCTTAACAATCCGTACCCTAACGATCCGTACCTTAACGATCCCTGCCTTAACGATCCCTACCTTAACAATCCCTGCCTTAAAGATCCCTACCTTAACGATCCCTACCTTAACAATCCGCACCCTAACGATCCGTACCTTAACGATCCCTACCTTAACGATCCCTACCTTAACAATCCGTACCCTAACGATCCGTACCTTAACGATCCCTGCCTTAACGATCCCTACCTTA